GCCCCTCATGCCCCCACATCACCGCTCTAAACCTCTTGCCGCATGAGGTAAACTCAGTGCAAGCCAACTTTGTCAAATTTTCAAATGATCATGTGAGGTTTTTCTAGTTGCTTTCCCTGAAATTATCTGACCAACACCATGCTTTCTTGAAACAATGGCTGTCTATGTGATGAAACTGGCTGAGCCACATACCAAACTCCTAATGGCTCAGATTTACTGTGCATACACCCTAAAATTGTTGCCTGAGAAGTCACTGCTACACAGGCCATGTTATGCATTACATGTGTTTTTAAAGCCTGAGCTACGGTATCCTGGACCCACCCTTCAGATCCAGGCACACGTCTGACAGCACAACATACAAGGATACTATACAAGACCAGCTACCAGGCAGAGTGGCAGCAATGAAATCACTTGCAGCCTCTAGGCAATGCAATATTAAATTTGGACACTCAAAAGCATACTAGCAAGCTGCTAGAAGCAGCCTAGAAATATAACTGAGAATGAACCAATGAGACAAAATTTCAATGGCTGGATGGCCAGGACCAGATTGAACTGCAAGATGGTGTGACTGCAAGTATGTGCGGCACAATCTTGCCCATAAAAGTCTAGATCAACTGGAGGCTGCAGGAGCATTTCAGTCAGCACATGGGCCAACATGGCTTACCCATTATTGTCCTCACGGCATATGCCATACCACAGGCATTAACACTGCAGGCTATAGTTCATTATTTTTACTTTTATAACACTGGCATTAGAGAAGCATTAAATCAGATTTATCATTACTCCAGAAGTTCATGAACATGTCGCCCACAAACAATTCTAATGCTCTGTTATCGGCACAATGTGAGAGAAAGAGATCCATTGTTTACCATGCATGCTTACCACCAACCTTGAGTTCCTCCACATCCGACATGATGGAATTTGTCACTTTGAGTATACTAATACCTATAACTCGCCTCCCTGGGTTAAACTAAACTAAATGGCCATAGCCTGAACATTTCTAACACAGCTCTCATGGAGATAGGACTTGGCATCAATTCATAGAACTCGCCATAAACACTTGAACCAAAACACACCCGGCTGTAATCAGGTACGCAACAAAACTTGCGGTATAGATATCCGACTCAACGCGCTTCAAGGTGCGCAAGAAAGGTAAAACCATCTAGTGATACTCTATTCATCTTCGTTTTATGTTACCATGACGTCACCGGTTTTGAGACTTCAGTGCACGGCGGGCAATTAAACGCTGAAAGCAATCCCTGCGAGGCAGTCCGAACATCAAAATATTCGTGCAGACAGTAAAAGAATCCGTAAGTGGAAGTGTAGCGCGCGGCGTATCTATCAGCCGCTAGCCACATGCTGCTTTTTCCAATGTGTGAGTACGGCTCTTGCTTGTTACGTTCGGCCCGGTGTTCGTCCCGAACATGGTCGCGGTCAGTCATGGATCAGAGTACAAAGTAACAGCATGGGGGAGACACAGTGACAGCCGTGGGGAGTCACAACCGTGGAGAGTCACAATAAGGAGGGACCCCATCAGCCTGGCGCGCAGTGACGGCCCCGCGTGCTGTGACTCCCTTTCAACCATATGTAAGCCCGGTGGGGAATCGCCGACCGTTCGACGATTTTTTAAGTTCACCGGCACATGCCATTTCTCCCTTTTTTGGACAATTTATGAAAACGTGTGTTTTTTAATTGCGTACTCTGACATTGTTCCTGGTCTATTAAATGCCGTGTAATATTTTCGTGCTTACATGCTACTGCCTCGATGAATCAGGCAATGCATCGAAAGGTTACGAGATATTATGTTTAATTGCGCGTCCGCTTAGTGACCAAGTTTTTCAGCTATAAGCTGTTATCTTGAATTACTGACTGCCGATAACCTCAATGAAATGAAGACTGGTGATGATCGTCGAGCAGGAGAGTGGGGGATCCGGCGCACTGATCCCTACACGTTCACGCTATCAACGGCGACTATTCCTGCCGCCATTTTAGTCATGACATACTATATGCACATGGGACGAACACATCGCTTGTCGATAGCGACACTGGCAATGGTTTCCAATAAAGTTTGGGGCGAGTTTACCAAATGAACTGGGGAACCCCACTGCGGTCTTTACGGACTACCGCTAATGTGTTCATGCATTACCTAGTAACGTTTGATTCGGCGCAGACACAGTCAATTGCCTGTTCACTCTCCCAACGACTAAAGTACATAATACATACGACTCAACGACTAAATACATAGCAATATGCTCAGTAACCGCTATCGTCCTGAGCAGTATTTGGCAATATAATACTGTTGCCTTGACAGTAAAGTCTGCCATTTTGGAACGATCGATGCCGAAATCCGACGCAGCAGCTGTGGCGTGATCTGTTACCTGAATTTCGTACGACGGAATCGACGCATTGACCGCATCATTGGCCTGCAGTGGTTCGGCTGTACGTAAGGATATGACGCTTTATTATTTATTATTATGATTATGACCCTCTATTTTATTGTCGCGGATTGTCACGGCGCATTCCAGGGTCCTATTGGAAAGTACTAAGGCAGGTAAGATATGACGCGCCGTAATCAAATTCATGTTTTTCTGTCAATCTACCTATAGTTCTGCATAATTTAGATATTGCGTGCAGGTCGGGGCGACTGTGAATTTTCCACAGGTGCATTCGAATGATTTTGTCACGACGGGTTAAATGCGTCACAGATGTTTTAAGGAATAACTCCTCGCGGGTAGCGACAGAGAAGGTCCTACTCGCCACGTGAGGTCCCACTCCGTACAGAAATTAGGGAGTTGGCTGTTGGTCGATCTCTCTGCGACTCACAGATGGGATGGGGCGATGATGGATTCGCGACTCACAGAACGCGAGAATCGCTGTTCAGCTGCCTTCTTACGACTCACAAGAAACTTGCCGTCGATTTTTTCTGTTGGTGGATTGGCGTGCGGCCAAAGAAGAGGACTCGCCAAGATGACCATGTGTGAATGACCCTTAGTGCCGGCAGTGAATTCGATCACCGAGGAAAGCATTGCCAGTATCATTCCAGCGACTTAAGAAGGCGAGGTTCGCACATATGAGCCGATGATGGATTCCGGCGTGCTGATGTGAGATTCCGGCGACTACCATTGTAAGCCGAAGTGTGATTCCAGCGTGCCGACGAGGGATTCCGCCATTACCCAGTGACGGCATGGGGGGGGGGGGGGGGCTACGTGGCGAGACCGGGTTGAGCCTCGCACCAGGTAGCTACCATTTGCTGGGGATAAATTCCGAGGCATACGTGGTGTTTGGCTGTACGGTTCCGCTCATAATTGAGGGGCTACGATCGTTGTAGGCATAACCTGCAGACTGAGTGTAGCTTCTACACTATAGACCTCCCTTTACAATGACCGGTGCCAAGCATGCACGAGACAGTGTGAATGTACAAATGCTAACTGCGGAATCCCAGTGAAGTGGCGTTTGCTTTCCATGTTAGGACGAAATCATCTGCTTCGTAAAAGCCCATGCATTGTCGGTGAGTTAACGCTTTGCCACGGTTTGCAGTCGCTGCCAGTTAGTCGGTTATGGCAGGGAATTGCCTCGATGATAATTACCTGCTAAATAATGCAGTGATATCACACACACACACACCACACACACACACACACACAACACACACACCCACACACCACACCACACACAACACACACACACACACCCACCAACCACACAACCACACACACACACACACCACACACACACCACACACACACACCCACACCACCC